ACCTATATATATATATATATATATATATATATATATAGACACATACTAAAAAAGGAGCTCACCTATCGACACAGCAAAGTAGACAAGGATTTCCAAATTTTTATTTAGGGAAAGTTTCCCTAAAATGTTTTCATATTGCACTATTCAATTTTTGCATTGCTTTTCAAAAAAATTTCAAAGTTGAAACTCTCTTTTATAAACTGCTTTATTTTTCTAGCTTAAATTCTTAAGAATACAAGTAGTACACCAAATCATATCATTTACTTTAAAATTAAGTTTACTTGTAATGTAGTAGTGCTCTGGGGAGCTCCTATCAAACTACACTTTCACTCTAAGAAAACAACCAAATTAGACAAGAATATGAAATAACATTTATATATAAATTCCATTTTATAAGTATAATCTTGTTTTGACAATCGTTTTATAAGTATAATCTCTCCAACCAATGATATACCTCTCCATTTTTTATTTTTTTTTTTCCAGATTTCTCGATAAAGCAGCAGTGAGACGAACTAACGAGCCTCTTGAACAAGCACCAAGCCCATGGAAGCTCTGCAGGGTGACCCAAGTGGAACAAGCAAAGATCATATTCGGCATGGTCCCCATATTCTGTTGCTCCATTTTCATGAGCACTTGTTTGGCCCAACTCCAAACCTTTTCAGTCCAACAAGGCCTCACAATGGACACACGCATAACAAAAACATTCAAAATCCCCCCTGCTTCATTACCCATCATACCCTTAGTGTTCATGATAATTCTCATCCCTATTTACGATCGTGTAATCGTCCCTTTAGCACGAAAGTTTACTGGTCACCCGACAGGTATTACGCACTTACAACGCATAGGGGTCGGACTCGTTCTCGCTGCTATATCCATGGGAGTTGCTGGCATAGTGGAAGTTAAGAGAAAAAATGTTGCTTTGAAACACGGTATGATAGATGCCTTGCCGGTATTGCAACCTTTGCCCATAAGCACATTTTGGTTGACATTCCAGTACTTCATATTTGGGATTGCAGACATCTTCACCTATGTTGGTTTATTGGAGTTTTTCTATTCTGAGGCACCCCCAAGCATCAAATCTATCTCGACTGCGTTTCTTTGGTGTTCCATGGGGCTTGGGTACTTCCTTAGCACCATATTGGTTCAAGCAGTGAACTTGGTCACAGAGAGGACGAATGGAGGCTGGCTTAGTGGAAACAATTTGAACAGAAACAGTTTGAATCTGTTTTATTGGTTTCTTTGTGCTCTGAATGCCTTAAATTTCTTCCATTACTTGTTTTGGGCCAAGAGGTACAAGTATAGGCCCCAACCATTTTTAAATGCTGAAGCAGAGAAGGTATGAAAATGTGATATTCATCAAGGGTCTATTCAAAAGGTAGGAATGGATGTGGATCTGTTGTTTGGTTATATTTTGGTGTATTGAAACATTTCAAATTTATGTATGTGATATTAGCCGTATTGAATTGATTAATGTTGGGATATGTTTGTACAGCCAAAGATGTGCTGTTTATCCATTGTCAAGAAGTGATTTGATGAATTTCTTGAGAACAATATCTCAAGTATGGACATACACACTGCACCTTTAGGTTCATGGAATTTGCGGGACTGACTCGTTCCACATGTTCTTTATGACCACATAAAATATCTAAAGGAACAACTTACCCAAGAAAATATCTAAAGAAATAAGAAAAAAATTGTGCAAAACATAAATAAAGGACGAGCAAGTTTGGTCATATAATTACATATGCGTGTGGGCGTGTAGTTGATAACCACCTAAAATACAACACAAATGAGTGCCCAAAGACATTCAAGGCATATTTGATAACTTGAACTTCTAGCTCCGAAAGCTGGAAATTCTAGTTTACCATGGCACTTCTTTATTTGTTGATAGGAAGTGCTACAAGTAACTGGTTTTAGGAAGTTCTAGGTTCTTGAAAAATGGGAACCAATAGCTTCCATCGCCTCCATTGAAGTCGCTTAAGCCCTTTTTTTCTTGGAAGTTCACCTCTTGCTTTCTTTTTCACTTTTGGTATCCTTTCTCTTTCTAACTCTCTCTAATTCCTTTCTTTATCTCATATACTTTCTCTCTCTAAATCTATATCTAACCATTTCCTTTCTCTATCTCATATACTTTCTCTCTCTAAATCTATATCTAACCATTTCATTTCCCTATCTAGATATTCCTTCTCTAACCATGCCCGCTTTCTCTAAAACTCTCTCTATAATGCTGCCCACCCTTTCTCTCTCTAGCTCATCTCTCTTTAGATGTGTCATTTCTCTCTAACCATTCCTTTTGTCTCTAATTATCTAACTCATTTCTCTCTCTAACCATGCCTTCTCTCTCTCTGTAACAATGTCCTGTATCATTTCTCTCTCTAACTCCTCTCCCTTTCTCTTTAAATGTACCCTCTCCTTTTAACTCTTTTCTCTCTCTAACCATGTCTTTTTCCCTTAAATTTTCAATCTCTAACCCTACCTTTCTTTTTAACTCATTTTTCTCCCTAAATGTATCCTTTCTCACTGATCGTGTCCATCCTCTCTCTCCTCTCTCTCTCTCTCTATATATGTGTGAGTATGAAGCCATAAAGCCTCAATTTGAAGTTTTATTAGATCATTATGAAACATAATCTCGATACTCAAGAACTTTCAGACAGATTATCAAACATGTATTCTAGAACTTCTAGATATCAACAGTTTCAACTTCCAAGGAACCTTAATTTCAAGGTTCTAGGAAATCCCTAACTTCTAGTTACCAAATGTGCCCTAAGGGAGGTGTTTTTATGCAAAACATTTTGTCACCAATTTTCAAAAGAAAAAGAAAAAAAAAGGATTTCGATTAAAACTCCAAATCAATTCCCCTTCAAAGACCAATTCTGAGCTACCTATTTGAGGAAAGAAGGATTTAGGGTTTTATAAGCTAGAATCAATTTTCTATTTTTTATTATAACTATCTACAAGGTGATTCCAAGAAATATATAAAGAACTAACCATATCTCGAATTCGGTAGTTAGGTAAGATCATAGGATCATTTTTGTTAAATATTATCAAATATTATTGCGGTAAACATATTTGGAGCACCATGGTTGGCGTACACTCGAGAATTTAGACTTCTGGTATTTTCAAAGGGTGTAATCGACAAGGAAAACTACCTCGTTTCTTTTGAATGTTAACAAAATTCATTCACTATATTTTTATGCGTACAATGCGCAAAGTGTATAGTTCAAACCCTCAATCTATGCACATACAAAACAAAAAGGAAAATGGTTTGATGTGGCTGCAGCCCTATCAAAATAAGTAAAACCTCACCTTATAATTCATCAAAAATTACAATTCAAGTGTTGAAAAACCTTTAAATCGATCATCTCAACTTGAACATTATGGTAGTGAAAAAAAAAAAAATTAGGATTTCAAGTTCTAAAAATAGTGCACATTGCACCAAATCATCTAGACCATCCATTTCACCCTAGAAACAAGTGTTCAAAGATCTGCAAGATCTATACCATTTTTTTAGTTTCAAATTTTATTGTCGGTATTGGAAATTAATTTTAGAGCCATCATGAAGATTTCCGCTCCCCAAAGTGCTTTTCAGATAAGGATTTAAGGTGAAGCTTTATTTTGTTTTCATAATGCCTAGGCCCGGTAAAAACTTCATCCAAAAAAAAAAAGGGCAAAATGCAGCAGGCAAGCAAGAAAAGAGAATTGGCATCATCATATTTCATCCCTTTGAACGAGAATGATCCATGTTCAGGCTATCTATGCCTCTGTAATCAATGGATGCATCCTTTCTTTTATTTTTTATATTTAATCAAAGTTACTCAATTTATTGAAAAGCAAGAACTGCACAAAAGGAACTACACCGTCAGACACAGCTAACGAAGGCAAAGACAAACCACTATAAACATGAATGATTGAATAATTTAGATCGTGACTTCACCGCACACATTTTTCCTATTGTGAATGTTGATTAGCCCCCCGATCTCACGAAAATACTAGTTTCTTTATTTTTCTCCTTCTTAATGTTCTGAAATAAAACTTGTTTTTGGATAAAATTGGACTGTATTTCATCCTTTTTTATATCCAGTACCATAGTGTCCCGAGCATTCTTTCACCATTTTACGACATTTTCTTAATCTTCCACCACTACAACTTGTAAAAAGCAACACGTAGTTGCTCTATTATTCCTCTCTTTCTCTCTCTCGTTCATTCTTAAGAAGCGGTGCATAAACAACCATAGGAAATAGGCGCTGAGCATGTTGCTATTTTTAGCAATATGGTATGGCTGTACAAAAGAATATAAAAGGGGTAGAGGAATGAAGGTATTTTTGCCGTTGGGTTGAGCATGCATGAGTTAAGGATTTGAATAGTGAGGGTGAGGGTATAAGTTTTTAAAGAGTATATTTTGGGTGGTTGAATGATAGAAATATTTTCGTAATATTTCTTTTGAATAACAAAGCAGGTGTTTCTCTCTCTTAGTAGTTGTGTCATATTCTACAATTGGCATCAGAGCTTCCACAAAACTCTGTAATTGGTATCAGATCGGATTCAGTCATGGGCCATCATGAGTGAGTAGTGAGACGCTGTGAAGCCGATCAGTCAGGGACCAAGCATCTTGGTATTAGGATAGAGTCCGATCATATCAATCACGATGGCGGATTTCGCGAGTGTAATTGGACGGGTCAAGAAACTAAACCACCACAATTACAATGACTGACGTTCGTGCATAGAATGTGAGGTTGTCAACGGCAACGAAACTGCTACACCAAAAGGAAATAATGCCAAGACGCTGCGAAGATGGCGCATAAAGGCCGGGAAGCCCATGTTCGTGGTGAAGACAACAGTACAAAGAGAATTGTTGGACCACATTCGAGAAGCCACCATACTGAAGGAAGTCTAGGACACGTTGGCAACACTATTTGCCAAGACGAATGATGCTCGATTGTAGTTTTTGTAAAAAGAGCTTGGATCGGTGTCCCAAAGGACTATGACGATCAATCAGTACTTCACAAAGGTGAAGCAACACTTAGTTGTATTTGGCCTAGTAAAGCAACACTCGGTCAGAGGCAAGAGGTACATGCTTACTTTCATCGATGACTATTCAAGGTATGTGTGGGTGTACCTAATGAAAGAAAAGTTTGAGGTCATTGGAAAGTTTAGGGAATTCCAAACAAAGGTCAAGGGGGAGATTGGCCAGAAGATTCGGTGCTTACAACTGATAATGGAGGAGAGTACACATCGATAGAATTCCCAGCCTACCTGAAAAAGGCTAGCATTCAACGCTAGCTAACCTGTCCCTACACCTCACTTCAGGAGTAGCTAAACGAAAGAATCGGCATCTGGCTGAAACATGAAGAAGTATGTTACATGCTAAAAATGTGCGCTTCAGATTTTGGGGAGAGTGTATTAAGGCAACGATGCACATCATCAATCGGCTACCTCAACCAAAATTGGGATTCATCACACCATACGAAAAACTTTGGAAGATCAAAGCCACTGTAATTTATTTTAAAGTATTTGGTTCTACATTCTATGTGCTTATTCCAAAAACTTTGCACAACAAACTAGAGAAAAAGACGCTACGGTGCATATTTGTGAGATATGACACTGACAGGAAAGGATACAGGTGTTGTGACTCTACAACCAACCGATGCTACACATCATTGGATGTGGTATTCTACGAAGCATCATCTTGGTGGATTCCAAAAACTGCAAAAGTATCTGATACTAGAGAAGAACAAAAACTAAAGACCAAGGAGACTCTAGATGGAGAGCATGAGGAACAAAAGTAGGAGAACGAGAAGCACCATAGTTCACCCGTCACACCAAGAAGATCTTCCAACCCATGGAAAGATGGTGTCCACCGGACAAGGACACCTGAGGAGACTTGACCAAGTCAACTAGAAGAGGTCATTGAAGAGCCTCAATTATGATTCTCAACCACAGTAAGAAGAGCAAATCCCAAATACGTGGATGTTGCACTGGTTGAGATAGATGATACACGAGAACCAGTATCATACGAAGAGTCCCATCAAAGTACTTAATAGCAAAAAGCTATGGAGAAAAAATCTTTGCACTAGAGAAGAACCAGACTTGGGATCTAGTTCCTAAGTCGAAAGGGGGTTAAGCCCATCTCTTGTGGATGGGTATACAAAGTAAAGACACATGTCGATGCGTCGATTGAAAGATATAAGGCAAGACTAGTCGCCCATGGTTTCTCACAATTATATGGGATCAACTATGAGGAGACTTTCAGTCATGTGGCCAAAATCACAACAGTATGTATACTGCTTGCACTAGCAACTAGCAAGTCATGGAATTAGGGCAAATGGATGTGAAGAATGTTTTTCTTCATGGAGAAGTAGATCAATATATATATATATATAGCTGAAAGGTTTTGAAAGCATGGATCGACCAAATTATATTTGCAAGCTTAAGAAAGCCTTATATAGACTAAAGCAAGCACCGAGGGCCTAGTATGGAAAGATTGTTGAGTTCCTATTGTAGAATGGATACTCTGTCACACCTGCTGAC